CCTCTCTCACTCTTCCAATCTCCCAGGCCACCACCAGTCCAGCAGCCTCCTTACGTTCGATTAATTGCATTGAAACACTCTCATCGCAAACCCGAAAAAAAAACAAAATAAGTCTGAGCAATTTGCAAGCTGCTCTCGCTGCTTGCGGTAGCGTACACCCATGTAGTCGTCCTCCCACACACGAAGGCGAAGGTAAAACACCCACGCACAGAACCCCCCGCAAAAAAAAAAAAAACAAGCCTGTAGCTTCGTCAAGGCCTTGTGCACCCTGACCATTTCACATCATGTGAGGAAAAAACAATCTACAAATAGATAAACAAATATCCAAAAAATTGAACATATTATAAGTCAAAAAGCGGGCCTTCCTTCGTACTCGGCTTCGAAACGGTAGACGGCCGCGGCGGGTTGATGGAAACGGTCTCCAAACAAACAACGACAAGTGAAGCAACGCAAAGAAACCAAACAAAAAGAAAAACGAGCCGTCGGCTGGTGCTCGAGACCGTAACGAGCACGTCCATTTTTCCTCCCAAGAAGAAAACACAAAAAACTACACGACTACAGAAAACAAAAAGCAAAACATCGAATGCATTGCAAAAACTTCCTTTAACGTCTTGTAGGATTGCACCTTCAGGCACATCTATGAAGAGTGCTTCTGGACTGTAGTTGTGGGTTCCTTTTGTTATTTCTCGCTGGTTTTTCGGATGTCTCAGGCACTTTCCCACTCACTGACGCTCAGGGCTTTAAGAGACTCGAGCATGGTTTCGAAGCGTCCCTGAACACGTCACCTGTTTGGATTGAACTCTTCGGGCTGTTCCACACTTGTTCCAGAAGGCCGGAGGGTTCTAGGCCGTTTTAGGGTTCTTAGGGCTTTTTAGGGTTGTGGGGCCTTTTCAGGTTTAGGGCTGTAGGGTTGTAGGGCTCTGGGGGTTGTAACCCTAAACCCGAGCCCTAAGCCCTCAACCCTGAACCCTAGACCTGTAGGGCTTCTGAGGATTGTAGGGCATTTCTCCGCCCAGCTTCCCAACGCCCTGATGCGTCGCAGGCGCCCATGGCGGAAGCGACCTGGGTTTAGGGTTTAGGGTTCCAGGGCTTAGGGTTCTCCAGTTTGAAGCATATTCCCAGAAAAGATCCTCGGAAAGCGAGGATGATCAAAACAACGCCCTAGACCCTGGGCTCATCTAAGCACAGGCTGCGTCCTCTTCCTCTTCTCTTAAACGCAATGCTGCGGCAACATGCGACATATTATCCCAAGCTCCTACACGGAAAACCTAGAATAGGTCTTGGCTTAACTTGGGCTTAGGGTGCAGGGGGGCATGTCCACAATACCCAAAAATTGAGAAAGTTCATGTTCACTGGGCGGAGACTGATTTTGGCTTGGGATAGACAAAAGCTCTCAGGCTAAAGCATCTGGACCAGAATCCCGAAAGCCCGCTAAACCCTAAACCCTTCGTTCGGGGTTTAAGGTGCACACATCCAACAACAAATCCGTTCGTAGCACAAACAGCCCAGTCACAGTAACAACGTCGGCCTCCAGACGCAATTGCCCGACTTCCTCTGGGTTAAGAGCTTAGTAGGGGCCATTCATCGCGATTTCGATGGTGCCCAAAACTATGGCCCTGAAGTTCCAGTTGTGCCACCACGAGACAGTGCACCGCCCCCCTCCCCGTCTAAAAAAGGCCAAACACAGACTGGCCTAGGATTCTGGTTGCCAAAAAACGCAGAGGCTCCACATATCAGATCATACTTAGGGCTTCGCATTGTAGGGTTTCGGGCTTGGGGTTGAAAGGGGGGTTCCTTGCGACGCTGACTCCGACACTTTGATGCTCCACTGCCTGGGACTCACAAAGCCGTAAGCCATCAACTTGGAGAAACAGCGCTCAGAGTCATGGCCGAGATACCCTGAACCCTACACCCTAAACCCTCTAGTTTGACAGGGGGCCCGCCCCATGCCATCAATATGGGCACTTTGCAGGTTAAGCCGGGTTTGGGGTTTACATGGTTGAGGATGCTCGCCGCAACTTGCAGCGGACTTCCTGACTCGTAACCTGCGCGAGCACCCCACAAACCCTATACCCCCTGGACCAACGACGAACACTCTGGCCTATGTAACGGCTTCTGGCTTTTGGGCTTAGGGCTTCAGACTAGGAATTGGAGGTAGTGTGACGCACCTGGCCCCAGACCCCAGAAAAACGTCATACAATAAAAAACAAGAAGTTTTTGAGATTCCTAAAGCCACTATGGGAGGTGTGAGGCAAAAAACCCAAACTGCAGAACCCTAACCCTAAACCCTTGACCCCAAACCCTAAACCCTAAACCCAAAACCCCAAAACACCAAACTCTAAACCCTAAACCCTTAACCCTAAACCCTAAACCCTAAACCCGAAACCCTAAACCCTAAACCCCAAACCCCAAACCCCAAACCCCAAACCCCAAACCCCAAACCCTAAACCCTAAACCCTAACCCCTAAACCCGGAATGAAGGACTCCGATCGGCCTCCAACAGAGCCAGCGCCTCGCGCCCCGGCGCGCCCCGACAGGCAGCGATGGCGGCGTTCAGGGCAATGAGGTTGGGCCTAGGGTTTAGGGTTTAGGGTTTAGGGTTTATAGGGTTTAGGGTTCAGGGTTCAGGGTTCAGGGTTTAGGGTTTAGGGTTTAGGGCTTAGGGCTGAGGGTTTTAGATTTATGGAGTTTAGGGCTACTGTCTAAGGGTTTAGAGGAATGAGGTTGGGCCTGGCTTTCTAAGGCTTTAAGGCTTTGAGGGTTTAGAGGGTTTATAGGGTTTTAGGGTTTCTCGGGGGGAAATAGGGTGTATAGGGTTTGTAGGGTTAATAGGGTTTGTAGAACTATAGGTTGGGCCTGGCCCGGCTATTTATGCTTTGGTCTTCTTTGGGTTTCGGAGTTTAAGGCTTAAGTGCTTCGAGGGCTTAAGGGTTTATAAGGTTTAGGGAGTTTAGGGGTTAGGTCTTCTTAGGGTTTAAGGGTTGACCTGGGACTCTCTTTGCCTACAGTTGTGTGGGTTCTACCTACTAATGAAGGGGTAGTTGCCAGAAAAGTAGCTTTTTGGCAAAAAGTTGTTGCTTTTCGAAAAAGGCGGCTGTTCGGGACAATTTTCCCTTTAAGTACATCGAAGACACCCCACACGCCTGAACAGTTAGGGTTTAGGGCTGATGGAATGTGATGATGTTGATGATTGAGGAGGGAGGAAGATGCCGAAACGATGACGACGATGGTGATAATGTCGATAATGTCGACAGCGACGGCGGTGGCAATTGAGGCATACGCCGGGCCAGGCATCAAAATCCGTGCAGGTCAAAACGCCGGTCTCAACAAGCCTCAGACGCGGCTTCCGCTCGCTTTCTAGGCCCCCCCCCCCGCCACAAGCGGCAGCACTGAAACAGGGAGCCCAGCAAGCCCCGAAACCAGCAAACAACCAAACACGGAAGCCAGGAGGGGGAGCGCAGTTATGAGTATGATCGGTGATGATGTTACTATTTAGGAGAAGGGACGGCGATGACGTTCTGCCATGAAGCTATCGTGGTGAGGCTGTAACAATCAGTAGTTAGGTATAACCCGAATACCTATGAAAACCCTGAAGCTCTAAAGCCCTCAAGCCCCGTACAGCCCTCAAGCCCTCCCTCAACACCCTCAAGCCCTAAAAGCCCTAAAGCCCCGAAACTCGAAAGCCCCCAAGCCCAAAACCCTGACCCTGAGGACCCGAAAACCCTAAAACCCTGATTTTCCCAAAACTCTCAAGCCCTAAATCCCTCAAGCCCTAAAAGACCCCCAATCCCTCAAGCCCCTAAATCCCTGAAGCCCCAACAACCCAGATTTCACAAGGCCGCCTGCACTGAAGGGAATCCATCGCGCGGAACGTTGCCAAAGCTTCTTCCCAGCGAGAGGCCTGCGCTTCCGTTAGGGTTTAGGGTTTAGGGTTTAGGGTTTAGGGTTTAGGGTTTAGGGTTTCGGGTTTAGGGTTTAGGGTTTCGGGCTTCTTTGGGGTTTATAGGGTTCAGGGTTTGGGGTTTGGGGTTTGGGGTTTAGGGTTTGGGGTTTAGGGTTTAGGGTTGGGGTTTTAGGGTTTAGGGGAGCTTCCGGGGTTCGCTTAGCAGGTCTTTGTTGAAGGGGCTTGGGCTTAAGGGCTTCTGGGTCTTGGCGGGGTTGCTGGGGCTCCAAAGCCGCTAGGGCTCAAGGGCTTAGAGGCTTCAGAGGTTTAAGGGGTTTAGGGTTTAGGGTTTAGGTTTAGGGATTGTAGGGTGTAGGGTTTAGGGGTTAAGCTTTTCTGGGGCTTAGGGCTTTATAGGGTTTAGGGGTGAAGGGTTGGGAGGGCTCAGGGCTCTAACGGCTTAGGGACGTTTAGGCCTTGTGCGGTTGAATTGGGCTTGGGGCTTCTATCTGGACTTTGGGGTTTGGGGTTTAGGGTTTAGGGTTTAGGGTTTTGGTTTAAGTTTCCTGGGGTTGCGCCTAACCTGAGTTGAGCTTACAACCAGTGAAAATTTATATGCATAGTTTCCCTAAACACGCACAGAAAGGAAATCATGGATCATCCCAAAGCACTGCCCAGTTTTAGGGTTTAGGGTTTAGGGTTTAGGGCTTTAGGTTTTGCGATGTTTCGGGGGTTGTTTGCGAACGGCTCAGGCTTTTGGAGGAAATTCACTCACCAACATGTATAAGGAAACCTATATACACTCACCAGTTTGATGGGTCCTCAGGGTCATGTAAGACGACCCCGAGAGCTTCTGAGGGGTGTGTCCTTACTTTGGAGCAGACCCTGGAAAAAAAGCATATACTTTTTTCGATATAAGTAGCTCTAATAGGATCCCAGAACCAAACAAAAGTATTAAAGTATGGTACTGCAAACCCTAAACCCTAAAACCCTAAAACCCTAAACCCTAAACCCTAAACCCTAAAACCCTAAACCCTAAACCCTAAACCCTAAACCCTAAACCCTTTACACGCCGGGCCGGCCTTGTCGCAGGCGCTGATGGCGGCACTGAATGTGATCACCTCGAAGATGGGCGTTATTAGGATTTAGGGTTTAGGGTTTGGGGTGTAGGGTTTAGGGTTTAGGGTTTAGGATTTGGGGTTTGGGGTTTGGGGTTTGGGGTTTGGGGTTGGGGTTTGGGGTTTCCCTCCTGATTGCGACAAAGACTTGGGCCCTGCTTGCTCCACGGGCGCAACCCATGCCATTCAACCAACATCTTGGGCAGTCTGGCTTTGATGTTTCCTTGGAGGCCCAATAAACGTGATGCACCCGGAAAGTGATGATGCCAGTGCAAGTGCAAAAATTAGGGTCTATGATACTTGACGCGCAAGACGCTGCAATAATCGCATCGCAACTATGGAATGAACAGCATGCGCATCCCGTGCATCAAAAAGGAGATATCAGAAAGGGCTAGCCCTAAACCCTACAAGGCCTATAGGGCTCAGGAGTTAAGGCTTTACGGAGATAGGGGTTATAGCTTTTGAAAAGCCTCGAGCCACTACCCCCTGCACATGTTAGCTTCAAGGACACCCTGAAACCTTACACCTCCACAGGAATCCCCTCTAAACCTACTCCCAAGACCCTTGAACCCCAGAACCCTGAACCGCCTCAAAACCCACAAACTCCAAAACCTCAAAACCCCGAAACCCTAAAACCCCAAACACGTAAACCCCAAAACCTCAAAAACCTGGAAAACGTCAAAAAACTTAAAACCCCAAAACCATAAACCCTAAACGCTAGGACCCCAAAACCCTAAAACCCCAAAACCCTAAAGACCTCAAGCCAAAAAAACCAAACCCCGAAAATCCGAAAACCCTGCCTAAAGCACTAAAGCCCTAAATAAGACAAGGCCCAACCCAAAACCCTGACCCCGAAAACCCGAAAACCCTTAAAGCCTCAAAACCCCCAAAACCCCCAAAATTCCCAAAACCCCCCCAAAACCCCCCCAAAAACCCCCCCAAAACCCCCCAAAACCCCCCAAAAACCCCAAAAACCTAAACCCTAAACCCTAACCCCTAAACCCCACAAAAGCCCTTCCTCCCCAATCCTTCGAGCCGCTGACGGCCGCAGGTGCTGCATCGCCTCCACGACCCCCAGCAGAAAGAGGGCTTGCTCCCACTGCGCCGCCTGCCCAAACTTTAAGGATTTATGGATGGGGGATTTCGGGTTTAGGGCTAGGGTTTAGGGTTTAGGGTTTAGGGTTTAGGGTTTAGGGTTTAGGGTTTAGGGTTTAGGGTTTAGGGTTTAGGGTTTAGGGTTTAGGGTTTAGGGTTTAGGGCTTAGGGTTTAGTTTAGGGTCCAGGGTCCAGGGTCCAGGGTTTAGGGTTTAGGGTTCGCAAATTTCGAGGCAGGCTATGACATGTAGGATCAGCCAATTAAGAACCCCCCCCCCACAAAAAAAACAAAAAAACAAAAAAAAAAAAACAAAGACCATGATCTCTACATTACCCTCATAAGGAAGATGTGTTTGCTTTGTTGCTTTTTTTGGGGGGTTCTTAAGCAAATAATAGCGGTCTATATAGGGTTTATCAGGGGCTTTTCGGCAACAAGTTTACAGGGTTTATAGGGATAAGGGACATTCAGGCTTCGGTCTGGGGGTTGGGCGGGTGCACGAAGATGTCGGGTTGGTGTTCGGGTGCGCGTGCGGGGGCAGTAGCAGTAGACGGCCAAACTGCTGGCGCTTCCATACTAGGGATTGAACATATTTGGGTGATTCTTAAGTGATTATACATCGGGGTTGCTTGTTCTTGGAAAAGACCACCCCCAAATACCCTCGAGGAAGTCGAAGAATGAGGTGAAGCAGAGTTACCAACAGTGTAAACACAGGACTCTGAGCTGGGGGAACGCCGGGTTCAGCATGCATGGGAAGTTCTCTTAATCGCAGTGGGGTTCCTACGTATGTAAGGATCCCTCGCAGGGCTGCAGATGAACTTCTGACAACGAGTGCAGCCTGATCCAGAACTTCGGGTTTAGGATTTAGGGTTTCGGGTTTTAGTGTCATCAACGCAGACGCTGCCTTCTCGCAGGCGCTGATGGCGGAGTTGTAGGTCACGACGTTGGGTTGCACACTCCGCTGGCCCATATCCTCGCGCAATCGGGGAAGGGGGAGAGAGGAAGGAAACCATGAAACAAGTGCCCAAGCGAACGGAGTCTAGGCAGGGAAGGAAGTTGGCTCAGGGCTTCTGGGGGCTCTAGGGGGTCAAACCTAAGCGAACAGCTGCCACGCATGTAAACAAGAAAGCCATGAAGCAGGCGCCTGGCCCTCTAGTATGTTGCCCTAACCCGAAACCCTAGACCCTAAGCCCCAGACCCTAAACCCTAAACACTAAACCCTAAACCCTGAACCCTAAAAATCGAATCGAACAAAAAACCCTGACAGCCACCCCTTGTTTCCCAGTCCTCTAGCAACGCCAGTGCATGCTGCCATTCCGCCGCCTCGCAGAAGGGTTTGGGGTTTACGGTGTAGGGTTTAGGGTATAGGGCTTAGGGCTAGGATGCAGGTGGTGGGCTTTTTCAGGGTTTAGGGCTTCGGCTTCTTTCATCGGGGGTGGCTGCGAGCTCTGAACTAAAACCCTCGAACGTGTTTTGGGATTAGGGTTTTGCGTGCTTTAAACGGTTGACCTGGAGGGTTCATGGCCCTGGGTTTAGGGTTTAGGGTTTAGGGTTTAGGGTTTATGGGCTCGGATTCCTGAACTCCAAACCCAAAACCCCCAACCACCGACTGCATAGCCCTAGGGGTTGTACTTTGGACCCTTAAGGCTGTAATCTCGGGTTTAGGGTTTAGGGTTTAGGGTTTAGGGCTTAGGGTTTAGGGTTTAGGGTTTAGGGTTTAGGGTTTAGGGTTTAGGGTTTAGGGTTTAGGGTTTAGGGTTTAGGGTTTAGGGGAGCCTGTGAAAAGATCCTCAAGGTAGTATCAGGGCCATATTAGGAGTATATAAAGGGAAGGCTCAGCTTAATTAGGGGTACAACCTTGGGGGCCCGAACACACGACTCCTTGATATACACGCTCAACACCAAACCACTGAGCCTCCTAAACCCTAAACTCTAAACCCTAAACCCGAAGCCTCTGAGTCAACTTGCCAGTGCCTTCTCACAGGCACCCATGGCGGCAGTATAGGTGATGACGTCCGCCTTGAGCCTCACCTTCTCTGTCTCCTGGGTAACTTAAACTCAACTCACAGCCCTAGATCGCAAACAATCTCCGAACAACCTACCCAAAATGAACCCTGATACATAGACCCTAAACCGCGCTAAGGAGTAGTTGGGCCCCATAAGCCCAAAGAAAAGACCCCCAGCCCTAAACATTCCTAAGCCCTAAACTCTAAACCCCAACCCCAAACCCTAAACCCCAAACCCTAAACCCCGAACCCTAAACCCCAAACCCTAAACCCCAAACCCTAAACCCTAAACCGGGTCCTCCAAGAGGCGCAGCCCCAACCTCCACTGCTCGCGCTTGCCGCAGGCGCTGATCGCGGCGTTGAAGGTGATGACGTCCGACCGGATCTTAGGGTTTAGGGTTTAGGGTTTCGGGTTTCGGCTTCTTTTTCTTACAACGCCAAGGACCTCTTTTAGATGTCTAGCGCTTGCTTGGGGGTTCTTGTTGCCCAGTCGGTACGCTTACACTCAGGTGTTCCTGCAGATGACGGAGGCCTCATGCTCATCGATCCCAACTTCGTTCAGTGCAGTGCTCGGATTCGGGTTGGGGCTGAGGGAATGTGAGGTTTTATAGGGAATGTCACAGCTCTTCTTGGGAAGGGGCCCTAAACCCTAAACCCGAAACCCTAAACCCTAAACCCTAAACTCTAAACCTCAAGCCCTAAACCCTAAACCCTAAACCCTGACCCTAGACCCTAAACCCCAAGCCCTAAACCCTGAACCCCAAGCCCTGAACCCTAAAACTCCTCAATGCCCTAAATACCCAACTGGGCACCTCCTAAACCCTAAACCCTAAACCCTAAACCCTAAACACTAAACCCTAAATACCCAACTGGGCACCTGGTGGCCCTGCGCGTCGGCGAGAAGCTGCAGGGCTTGCTGCCACTCCGCGGCCTCCCGACTTTCACTTGGGAGGGTTTGGGGTTTAGTAGGGTTTAGGGTTTAGGGTTTGGGGTTTAGGGTTTAGGGCTTGGGGTTTGGGGTGTGGGGTGTTTAGGGTTGAAGCTTACTTGGCTGCACTGTGGTGCTCGGTACTTCGCAAGAAGTGTAACTCTAATCGCTTTTTCGGAATCCCAGCCCTTCCCCCCCCCCCCGCCACCCAAAACTAAGCATCTATGTAAAGCTGCACTAAAGAACCAAAGAGTTTAGGGTCGATCTTGGCTACATGTCCATGTCGTTTATACGCTTGACTTATTCATATAATCATCATATGGTCCCACTGATATTGGGCCTCAGAACGGATATCTCTACATAGGGCTCATTTTGGAACAGGGCTTTGGGGCTGAGGCGTTGAGGGCTTCAAATGGGGGGTTTCGAGTGGTGAGTTTAGGGACCCTGAACCCTAAACCCTAAAAACCCTAAACCCTAAACCCGAAAACGCTGAACCCTAAGCCACATATGGTCAGTTCTTCATGGCTCCTTTTTTGGGGCTGCTACGATAAGGCGGCCCCTAATATTTAAGGTACCCGCAAAAGGCGATCATATTGTGAGAACTGACCACATCGGAATTAAGATGCCAGTTTTTGCATAATTCCCCCGTTTAGGGTTTTTGGGTTTAGGGTTTAGGGTTTAGGGATTAAATGGAACTCAGCCACCCTTACAAAAACAAAGGGTCAATAAGGCTTGTACTAGCCATGCTAGACTAGCACTGTAGGAGATTCAAAACTTTGCTTGCTGGCACCAGGGTTTAGGTCTTCAAGAAAGTTTGGGAAATCCACCAGTTGTTATCCGTTAAGCCATGAGCAGGGGCGCGCCTAACCTTTTTACTCAGAGGGCTTGAGCGGCACAAGTAAGTGCAACATACATGGAAGCAAAAGTGGAGGGAATGCACAGATATAAAATACACCCCCCTCGTTGAAGCGTGAGAATGCTGAAACGCAGTCAACGAATCCACGGCAAGCACTACGTGCTGCATTTTGCTCTTCTACTGTATGTTCAAAGTGCGCTCACCCGAGTTTTAATTCAGGTTCAACGCCACAGATCACCGCGCACCAGCTTAAGAAATTTGAAACGCTGGCGGGGATACAAAGGTGGCTCGTGCAATACAGTGGTTCACTCAGCATCGACCTCAAAAGAAAGGAAAACAGAGCGTTGTGGTCAAGATGCTAAGCTACTTTATCAGAAAAGCGGAACTCAGGACTCACCAGCTGCGATCTCGATGGTCGTAGCGCCAAGGTCCACGGGAGTGCTCCGTACTGCGACTCCCCGAGCTCCACCAGGATCCTTGATCCTGCCACTGGCGGTCACGCCAGGAACTTGAGGAATGCCAGTCGTCCTGCGACCAAGAGTTGTCGCTCCACGACCAGCCACGATTCGTGTCACGATCGGCCTCCCCATAACGGGGGGCATTTTGCGATGCCTTTCTTGCATCCGCCCGCGCCTGAGCGGCCCGGGACGCTTCTGCCGATTCCTTCATCTTTCGGCACGTCTCCTTTGCCCCACCATAATTCTCAGAGAGGATCTCGGCCAAAAAGACTGCCAGATGCTCTTCCTCATCGAAGTCCGGGATGCCAATGATGCCCTCCGTGAAGGTGAGGATGTGGGAAACCGCACGGGTGACGCGGATGATCCGGGCGAATTCCTTCACGCCCATGAAGTTGCCGAGCCAAGCGTAGCCCATAGGTTCGAGGTTGGGGTCGTCGATGAGGCCGGCCAGGACGAGATCGTCGGCATTCTTGTCGAAGAACGCCATGCGAGCCAGGCCCTCATGATTGACCTTTTTATTCTCCCAGGCCTTGTTGGAGCCGTAGCCCAACTCACGTTGTTCGCGGGAACGACCTTGATTGGGAAGATAAGCGCATGCCACGCAGTCCTGAATAGTGAGCCGCCTTCTCGTCCAGCCGCCCTTGATAGCGTGGATCGCGTAGGTGTCGTCCTGGTCGAACTTGTCCACCATCGACGTGTAGCCGTGCTTCATGATGCCTTTGAGATTTTGGCGTGCCAACATGATAGCTCGGCCATCTACGCTCTGCTGTCCCCTCAAATCATGCGTTCCAGCGGCCTGGCGAATCTTCGCGGCATCCATCTCCCAAAGGCCCTTTCCAAACTGCTCTGCCAGGGCGTCCAAGACATGGGAGCGCTCACGCGCCATCCACATTCTGAAGGCACTCTGGGTGGCCCCACGGGTGACGTAGTAGCCGCAGTGGAAACACTTGTGCTGACCTTCGAGACGAAGCTTGCCACAATTGACGCACTGAATCTGCGTGATTTCCCTTTTCCATCCAGGACGCGGCGCTTGTGTTGCCGGTGCCGTAGAGCGGGTAGCCACTCCTTCATCAGGGACCACTTGCAACTGACCTTCAGTCAAACGGTTCCTTCCTGAAGGCGACACCTCGATGACATCGGCGTCGGTGTTGAAGCGAACGTGTAGAGGTGGAAGTTCAGGAACGGTGCTCTCGACCTCCTCAAGGATGGGAACGTCGAACTCCTCCTTGACCAATGGGGCTTCTTCATGCTCGACACCAGGCTCCTCCTGTACTTCTTGGAGAGGTCCCACGGCTTCAACGACCATGCTTCCGGAAGATTCGGCCTCCTCTACATGAGGGGCATTCTCTTCCTCCTCCTGTCCCTCAGGTCCATCCGCGGCAGCCACAAGATTTCATCGGTCCTTGTGTCGCGGATGTAGAGAACCGTCGATCCAGAGATCGCTTCTCTGCAGAGGACGCCCTCGGACCGTGAGTAGAACAGTCCAGCGCCTTGCCTGAGGGCATCCATGGTGTTGACGACCACCTCCACGGGGCGATCGCTTCTCACGCCAGGGACATTTTCTCCCGGCCCTACCTCCCGGTCGGCAAAATACACAAAGGCATTCGCGGTGTGGTGCCCGGGGATAAAGCAGGAGTCCAAGATGGCAAAGGCTCGATCCTTGTAGGTGCGGTGGTAGAGCCTGCGTGGAATCTTCTCCAGGGGCAAAACCGGCCGACCTTCCCAGGTGGCAGAATGCTCATCCATCTCTGCTTCTGGGATCATGCTGAACCAGGCCTCCGCAAGGATCGAGTCGGGCACCCCTTTCATAGCATCTTTAGAGATGCCTTGGTTCGCCCTAATAAGGGTAGGGTAGCCTCCTAGGCCGTAGTACTCGGCGAGGGGGTGGTTGCGGTCAATTCGCAGCTGGAACCTGCTGCGGTTGTCGTTCTTGACGACAGTGAGGAGCATCCCGAGGCCATAATCCTTGTTCGTCTTCTTGTTCCAGGCCTCGAGGATCTTCCTTGTAGAGCACCACAATCCATCGCCCTGCAGACCTGGGACGACCTTGCCGCGGACAATACCGGACAAGGCAGTCTTGTGATGCTGGGGAATGTGGATATACTTGAAGTTCGGCATCTCGTCCTGAAGGATGTCAATCCACTCGGCCTCACCTTCCGGCGGGCATAAATGGATTGTGTCCCAGTCGAGGCCCAGCATGTCGACGAGGCACCAATCGTCATCGGTTGAGTAGTAGCCGGACTTGATGGGCTCGTCGTAGGCAGCCTCGTGTGGGCCCTTCTTTGCCTGCTTGGGGGCACTGGACTCAGGGTCGGTCCGCTGACGACTGTAGACCTCCCCCCTGGCCAAAAGCTTCTCCTTAGTCTCCCGCGCCGTTGACGACGATGACGGAACAACGACGGCCTCCCCTGGACGGGGGGCATTTTCCTCGCTCTTCTTGATCATCTCGTCGTAGTCCTCGCGGGTAACATATTCCCCATCTCCCAGGTGAACGTGGTCCTTGAAGTCCCGGTGGACAAAGTGGTTCGGCGCGGTGTCGGGGAACTGCTCCTGGGGTCCTTGGAAGTAGATGTCGTCCCACGGGTCAGCCTCGACAAGCGGCTGATGTGTGGGCTCTACTCTTCCTCTACGGAAGTGGTTCAGGAGCTTCTCCTCCACCTGCACGTCCACAGCGAACTTGACGTTAGGCTTTGAGACGTGGCCGTAGTTCTGCAGGACCAGGTCGATGTCGGCTTCCTTGAAGAAGGAGCATTGGTGACGAAGGACCATAATCCTGGCGGTAAAACCCAACCACCTCAACAGCTGCAAACGATAGGCGCTGTCCTCCTGGAAGTGAAAGTGGTCGAATTTGCGGATCTGGCTCGCAGGCGTATTGAAATGCTTGACGGCCAGCCCAAGTTGGGCGGCGTAGTCGAGCAAATCCGCCATGATGGTACCCCAATCGCGCGGGAGGTAGTAGTTGGCAGCGTCGGTCGCAGACGTGAGCAGCACAGTACCCACTGACGTCCTTGACTGTAGATCCGCCAACTTGCCTATCTCCCGGAGAACCTTTGGTCCAATGAACTCCCAGCTCCCCTTTGCCATGTGCGGGTAACCACGAAGCCACTCCGTCTTGCTCTTGAAGCCTGGGTCCAAAAACAGACCTCTGTCGCCGACGAACTCGTTCCCGTTCCAGATCATCATGAGGTCAATGCTCACCTGACCACTGGCGCCAGTTTCACGCTCCAGTTGGGTGATTTTTCCCACGGCGAGCTCTACGAGCCGCGTGAGATTCGCACCCCATGTAGGAATGTACTCAACGCCAAGATGATGTGGGAACGCATTGCCGCGGTTGGCCTTGATGTCTGCCAGCAGATCTGTCTTCCAATTTCCTTCAGTGAGGAACGTAGTTGTAGAGTCTGCGACGATGACAAGGTAGCGCAAACGGCCTCGAGTAGACTCGGGCTGGAGCATGGCCAAGCCTTGATCGGTGAGCCTTCCAATTTTGGCCACCAAACCAGCCTCCCTGACGTCACTGAGGGCATATTCGCATGCCAGTGGCCGCGGCAAATACTTGTAGAAGTTGTTCACGCTGGCTTCATCCTCCTGGAAAGGCGCCATGGTGCGGTATTCGGAAGACAATGAAGTCTCCCATAACCGCCGATCCCACCACTGACACAGGACCTCCGTCGGTGCAACGATTCCAGCGT